GGTGTAATAATATGGAAGATTAAGAGTAGGGAGAAGATTAGCGAACGACAGTCTAGTGAGCATGCAACAACTCGAGAGGGAGATGCTGAGCGGTGTTCCTCACTCAGACAGAACTGGCGAAGAAATTGCTGGAAGACCAATGGAGGAGGCTGGCGTGAGACCACCACGTGCGGCGGAAAAACCTCCCACAGCAGAGAGGAAAACATTGACCAAGAAGAACAAACCCTAAAGAACACATCTGCACCTACAGACACACGCACACATTTCATTGCATGTAGAACAAAAGAAAATGAAAAGAACATTTCATTGCATGTAGATCAAAAGAAAATGAAAAGAACATTTCATTGCATGTAGAACAAAAAGAAAATGAAAAGAACATTTCATTGCATGTAGAACAAAAAGAAAATGAAAAGAACATTACATTGCATGTAGAACAAAAGAAAATGAAAAGAACATTTCATTGCATGTAGAACAGAAGAAAATAAAAAGAACATTTCATTGCATGTAGAAGAAAAGAAAATGAAAAGAACATTTCATTGCATGTAGAACAAAAGAAAATGGAAAGAACATTACCCTTGCATGTTAGAAAGTAGAATAGAATTGCATGAGACAAATGCATGGGCATGTTAAATGATGTAATTCAGTTTAGGTGTCATTTACGGGTAAATGACAAATCGGTTAGGGGAGGATTATGGCACCTTGCATTTATTGGAAATATTCATAGAAATATGAGTTAATTTTTTCTTATTCAGTTTATTAAACAGGTTGTTAATTTTTTTTTAAAAACGGAAAATAACTGAGTTGAAAATAATTCACTAAGAATGTACTAGACGATCCTAAGGAAAGAAGAAGGAAAGAAAAGAAAAAAAGGAAGGAAGGGAAGAAAAAGAAAGAAAGAGAAATGTATGACGCATGACCCAGTTGATGGTAGAGATAGGTCTGCGTGTGGTCGACTTTATTTTTTTTAAAACAAAGGAAGAATAGAATTGGAAATAATAAAAGAGAAAGAAAGGGAAAAGACATGATATCGACCAGATGTCGGTCAGAGGCCCTGACCGACTCTTGCGTGGAAAACCTTATCAATTTGGAGTGAAGAGAAATTTTTTTTTTTTTCTTTGAACAATAGAAACGAAATTTGTGATCTGAGAGAAAGTGTCTTTGGGTTGAGGGGAGGACCAGTGAAACGATATACGGAATTGACCTGTTAAGAATTGGACACCCACGTTAAGAAAGTAGAGATATTTCGACCTAGATAATTAAGATTTTCGACTATCAGGTAAAAAAACAAAGAGGTAAAAAAGAAGAGCAATTGTTTTGGACCACGGAGGGCGCCAGGAAGGCGGAAAAGATCCTTTCTAAAAGTCAAGACTAATTAGCAGAGGGCTGTTTGACAAAGTCCAGGTGAAAGAAAGCTAAAGATTGTCATTTTGCGTACGTGCAAAAAGGTGCGAAATCGGATTTTGTTTTTTTTAAAACCAGCACGAGGTAACCACACCCGCCAACAAAAGGGAGAGGGTGTTCGGTCAATAACAATTGGTCGAATACAATCACGTGACCGCGGAAGAAGAAGGAAAGAAAAACCTCGATCAATAACTGTTGGACGAGGCGGTCACGTGGGCTGCGGAAAAGAAGAGAAAGAAAGGTCTGATCGGGAACGATTGGTTGAGAGCGATCACCTGACATGAGAGAGACTAAGAGAAATAGATATGCGCCGCCCCACCAAGAGCTCTGTGAGAAAGTAGGGGTGAAAACAATAACGATAATGGAAAGTCAAAAAATTAATACGACTTTTTGGAATTATCGAGAAAACCCTGACGCCGACAGACCCACCCCAGTTTGTTGCGGCGTCAATATAAGCAGGACCCCAGTCGACAGAAATCAGTTTGAATTGAGATGCAGCCGGAGTTGGGCTGAGTTGCAGCAGGACCGCGGGCAGGGGAAGATCCTGAACGCGGACATAAGACCCGATTCACTCGCCCCGTTTGCGGGCAAAAGAACCTCAGACAGAAGAACTTCCAGCCCAAGTAGATGAAGAAGAAGATTGCCTGAAAACCTGAGAACAGTTGGAGCTGAAGTTGAGTTGAAGTTGGAGTTAGGGTTGGGCGTGAGTTGCAGTTCACCTCGGACGACAGAAGAATCCTCGAAACAAGAAATCCTTCCAGCCCAAGTTGAAGACAAGAAATCTTCCACCGAGTTGAAGCAAGAAATCTTCCACTGGGTTGAAAACAAGAAATCTACCAGTCTAAAACAGAAGAAGAAGAAGAAATACAACTCAAGTCGGAGAGAAGAATCAACTGCGAATGATCGATAGAAATTAGCCCCAGTGTCGAACTGAACCACACTCCGACATACATACATGATTCTAGAAAGTAGGTAATTGACATTTTCCTATTGTGTGATAGAAGCTTGTGCCATAGTCCACAGAGCGGGTCGGGAATTGAGAACAATTTTGTTTTTATGTAACGGACTTTAAGATATAAAAGGTTGTTACCTTTTTATCAGCAATTTTGTTTGGTGTCGTGAGTTTTTATTTTATTTGTGTTTTGCCACCCCGTCGGACTCAACTTGTATCGGCCCTGATCCTGCTGGTCCTGTCTGTCTAAGATCTAAACACAGCGTGGGTAGACAGACCGAGATCGGTATAGTTGTTTTTAGTGACCAGGTATTGAAGCGAGTCGGGAAAGGCGAGGCTGGTGATCATCTGACCAAAGGGTTGGAGCGGCACGCTTGGACCCAGGAGGAGCGACCAGGAGGAGCGACGTCACCGTTGGCGCCGTAACCAAAGGATCCGACACTGGGCCAGGTGTGTAACCGTCACAGGTTGTGTTCTCCGGACTTCTTCAGGCAATGACGACCGTGTAAGCAACAGGGAATTCCGAAATTAACCCTTTATTTAATCTACGGGAGTAGATGGTTCCACTGCCTATGTATAGGTTTATCTTGTCTAGTTCTTATTTTTAGTATTGCTCATTTATTTCTCTCTCCGTTTTCCACGCTGTCCTTCTCACAATTGAACTCACAATTGCCATATCACGAACTTCATCAATTAATCCACCCGGTTATTGTCCCATTAGATAATTCTGTGTGGAAAAATTTGAGCCGTAAGCCTAACCTGCCTGCTAATGACTTTTGCTCGTCATTTTTGTCATTCACTCTTTATTAAACGGCTCCCATATCGGATTTATTTCTACGCTAGGCCTACTAAGGAGATCCTCATAGCTTAGCATATACGCTGATTCTTTCAGATGTCTGACTCTCCAGTGTTCGGTGTCCTTGGTTAAAATAGTTGTACTCTCCCGAAAATTCGGTTGTAATACAAGCACACTTCTAATATGACAGAAAGCGTTTGTTTGTTTTTTTTATCATTTTAACTTTTTTTCTTATTTTCATTACATCAGTCGTTAATTTTTGTGGCTACCTGTATTTGATTAGACGCTCCTTTTATTTTTTTTTAAACAGTATTTTATTGCCGGCCTGAACATTCAAAAAATCTTATTAAAGGAAATGACTTCTACGGCAGGATTCGAACCTACGTCCCGAGGACGTCAGGTCCGACTTGTTTTGACCACTATACTATAGGAAGAGCTTTATAATCGTGCAAGTGTCTATTAAGCCTTCGCCTATATAATGATAGAATAATACATATAAATAGAACACACACACACACAGATAGATAGATAGATATACTGTGTGTATTTAGGCAGCATTTTTTCAATATTGCATGTTGCGTAAAATAATATAGACAAGTTTTGTCTATTTTAAGTAAATTCCTTTCATATTGTCAAATAAGCTTTTTAGTATTATCACTGAAACATGAAAGAAAATCACCATATTGATACATGCTTTTATTGTTAATCCTGTCTAAGCTTTCGGCTTACATAAGCCATCATCAGAGATTACAAGTACAATTTCTTCCAGTTGGTCCGAGGTAGTCATATCTTTTAGTTTTTCGTAGAAGTCCTGTTTGTTGCCGTTCAGGGTGTTCAATATTTATTTGGTTATTTCAATTTACTTTTTCACCAGGCTACATTTATAATTCCAAATGTTGATAGTTTAGTGGGCTGCTGGATCATGTAATTTAAATTGTGTGTATTTAGGCAGCATTTTTTTTCATTAATCCATATATATATATATATATATATATATATATATATATATATATATATATTACTTCAAACGTTATCTTTTAGTGGATACCCGTGTTTGAGTAGTCACTCCGTTTATTTTAAACAGTATTTATTTCGTCTACCGACCTGTGTACTCGAGTAAACTTAATAAGGGGCATGTGACCTCCGGCAGTACTCGAACCTGCGGCCCCTCGCGAAAAGGAATCGGCATACTGATTTCAAATTCCAACCGAATTCACTTTCGCACACAAATTAGTTCTTTTTTTTTCTCTTTCTCTCTCTCTCTCTCTCTCTCTCTCTCTCTCTCTCTCTCTCTCGGCTCGCAATTAAATATCAGGATAGACTGGAAGCGGTCGAGGAGAAAGACAACTCCGAATTTGAAATCGAATGGACGAATGGACACCAACCAGTAAAAAACTACAGAAATAAAGCAGTCACTGCTAGTGTGCTGTGGCTGTGGCTCTACAGGGATATAATCACCAACCTCCCCACAAGGTAATCTGTAGCACAAGACCGAGTTTTAAAATAAGGGCAAACCGAACCTATAGACTCGGCTAAAAATTCTCGTATAAAACAGAGTCGGATAGCTGTTTCCCGAGACGAGACTCTCCCCTTCGACATAGCCTCGTTTGGGGCTCCCCTCTGCCCGAAAGTAGAGAGTTTGACCAGCACAGCTGGAAAAGATTCCAGGGGTAATGCAACAAAGTATTTTCAATAGGTTGCGTGTTTCTTTTTATCAACCGAAATGCATCTTCATTCTTGAAGCTCAACATTTAAAAGACATATTGAGATTTTTTTTTCTTAATTTTCGTCCAGAATTAGCAGCACAAATCAAAAACCATTCGTTTTTTTTATCTTTTTACCTTAATTTTGATGTATTTCTTTGATCGATTTGGACATTATTTATTTTTTTTTTATCGCTTGGCTTCTATCCTGCTTTCTATACTTCGATCATTCCTTCTTTGGTCATTCCTTCCTTCCTTCCTTCCTTCTTTGGTCATCACTTCCTTCTTTGGTCATTACTTCCTTCCTTCTTTGGTCATTCCTTCCTTCATTCTTTCTTTAGTCATTCCTTCTTTCATTCCTTCTTTGGTCATTCCTTCCTTCATTCCTTCTTTAGTCATTCCGTCCTTCATTCCTTCTTTGGTTATTCCTTCATTCATTCCTTCTTTGGTCATTCCTCCCTTCCATCTTTGGTCATTCTTCCCTTCCTTCTTTCTTTGGTCATTCCTTCCTTCATTCCTTCTTTGGTCATTCCTTCTTTCCTTCTTTGGTCATTCCTTCCTTCCTTCTTTGGTCATTACTTCATTCCTTCTTTGGTCATTCCTTCCTTCATTCCTTCCTTCCTTCTTTGGTCATCACTTCCTTCTTTGGTCATTACTTCCTTCCTTCTTTGGTCATTCCTTCCTTCATTCTTTCTTTAGTCATTCCTTCCTTCATTTCTTCTTTGGTCATTCCTTCCTTCATTCCTTCTTTGGTCATTCCGTCCTTCATTCCTTCTTTGGTTATTCCTTCATTCATTCCTTCTTTGGTCATTCCTCCCTTCCATCTTTGGTCATTCTTTCCTTCCTTCCTTCTTTGGTCATTCCTTCCTTCATTCCTTCTATGGTCATTCCTTCTTTCCTTCTTTGATCATTCCTTCCTTCCTTCTTTGGTCATTACTTCCTTCCTTCTTTGGTCATTCCTTCCTTCATTCTTTCTTTAGTCATTCCTTCCTTCATTCCTTCTTTGGTCATTCCTTCCTTCATTCCTTCTTTGGTCATTCCGTCCTTCATTCCTTCTTTGGTTATTCCTTCATTCATTCCTTCTTTGGTCATTCCTCCCTTCCATCTTTGGTCATTCTTTCCTTCCTTCCTTCTTTGGTCATTCCTTCCTTCATTCCTTCTTTGGTCATTCCTTCTTTCCTTTTTTGGTCATTCCTTCCTTCCTTCTTTGGTCATTACTTCATTCCTTCTTTGGTCATTCCTTCCTTCATTCCTTCATTCTTCTTTGGTCATCACTTCCTTCTTTGGTCATTACTTCCTTCCTTCTTTGGTCATTCCTTCCTTCATTCTTTCTTTTAGTCATTCCTTCCTTCATTCCTTCTTTTTGGTCATTCCTTCCTTCATTCCTTCTTTGGTCATTCCGTCCTTCATTCCTTCTTTTGGTTATTCCTTCATTCATTCCTTCTTTGGTCATTCCTCCCTTCCATCTTTGGTCATTCTTTCCTTCCTTCCTTCTTTGGTCATTCCTTCCTTCATACCTTCTATGGTCATTCCTTCTTTCCTTCTTTGGTCATTCCTTCCTTCCTTCTTTGGTCATTACTTCCTTCCTTCTTTGGTCATTCCTTCCTTCATTCCTTCTTTGGTCATTCCTTCTTTTCTTCTTTGGTCATTCCTTCCTTCCTTCCTTCCTTTTTTGGTCATTACTTCCTTCCTTCTTTGGTCATTCCTTCCTTCATTCCTTCTTTGGTCATTCCTTCTTTCCTTCTTTGGTCATTCCTTCCATCCTTCTTTCTTTGGTCATTACTTCATTCCTTCTTTGGTCATTCCTTCCTTCCTTCCTTCCTTCTTTGGTCATCACTTCCTTCTTTGGTCATTACTTCCTTCCTTCTTTGGTCATTCCTTCCTTCATTCTTTCTTTAGTCATTCCTTCCTTCATTCCTTCTTTGGTCATTCCTTCCTTCATTCCTTCTTTGGTTATTCCTTCATTCATTCCTTCTTTGGTCATTCCTCCCTTCCATCTTTGGTCATTCTTTCCTTCCTTCTTTCTTTGGTCATTCCTTCCTTCATTCCTTCTTTGGTCATTCCTTCTTTCTTTCTTTGGTCATTACTTCCTTCCTTCCTTCTTTGGTCATTACTTCATTCCTTCTTTGGTCATTCCTTCCTTCCTTCTTTGGTCATTCCTTCCTTCATTCCTTCTTTGGTCATTCCTTCTTTCCTTCTTTGGTCATTCCTTCCTTCCTTCTTTGGTCATTACTTCCTTCCTTTTTGGTCATTCCTTCCTTCATTCCTTCTTTGGTCATTCCTTCCTTCATTCCTTCTTTGGTCATTCCGTCTTTCATTCCTTCTTTGGTTATTCCTTCATTCATTCCTTCATTGGTCATTCCTCCCTTCCATCTTTGGTCATTATTTCCTTCCTTCCTTCTTTGGTTATTACTTCCTTCATTCCTTCTTTGGTCATTCCTTCTTTCCTTCTTTGGTCATTCCTTCCTTCCTTCCTTCTTTGGTCATTACTTCATTCCTTCTTTGGTCATTCCTTCCTTCCTTCCTTCCTTCTTTGGTCATCACTTCCTTCTTTGGTCATTACTTCCTTCCTTCTTTGGTCATTCCTTCCTTCATTCTTTCTTTAGTCATTCCTTCCTTCATTCCTTCTTTGGTCATTCCGTCCTTCATTCCTTCTTTGGTTATTCCTTCATTCATTCCCTTCTTTGGTCATTCCTCCCCTTCCATCTTTGGTCATTCTTTCCTTCCTTTTTCTTTGGTCATTCCTTCCTTCATTCCTTCTTTGGTCATTCCTTCTTTCTTTTTTTTTGGTCATTACTTCCCTTCCTTCCTTTTTTGGTCATTACTTCATTCCTTCTTTGGTCATTCCTTCCTTCCTTCCTTCCTTCCTTCTTTGGTCATTCCTTCCTTCATTCCTTCTTTGGTCATTCCTTCTTTCCTTCTTTGGTCATTACTTCCCTTCCTTCTTTGGTCATTCCTTCCTTCATTCTTTCTTTAGTCATTCCGTCCTTCATTCCTTCTTTGGTCATTCCTTCCTTCATTCCTTCTTTGGTCATTCCGTCCTTCATTCTTTCTTTGGTCATTCCGTCCTTCATTCCTTCTTTGGTCATTCCTCCCTTCCATCTTTGGTCATTCTTTCCTTCCTTCCTTCTTTGGTCATTCCTTCCTTCCTTCCTTCTTTGGTCATTCCTTCCTTCATTCCTTCTTTGGTCATTCCTTCTTTCCTTCTTTGGTCATTCCTTCCTTCCTTCCTTCTTTGGTCATTACTTCCTTCCTTCTTTGGTCATTCCTTCCTTCATTTCTTCTTTGGTTATTCCTTCCTTCATTCCTTCCCTCTTTGCTCATTCTTTCCTTTCTTCCTTCCATCCTTTTTTTCTTCCGTCTTTGCTCACTCCTTCCTTGCATCTTTTCTTTTTTCTTATTTTCCATCCTTGCTCATTCATTCCGTCCTTTCATTCTATCCCTCCTAACTCTTTCTTTCCTTCCAGTATTGCTAATTCCTTCCAAACTTCTATCCATCTATCTTTGCTCATTTCTTTCTCCTTTCCATTTTTGCTCATTCTTTCCTTCCATTTTCTTTCTATTTCTCCTTTTTTCCTTTCATCCTCGCTCCTTTTCTTCTACCCCTGTTCCTTCAATGCGTGCTCATTCCTTCCTTCCTTTCTTCCCTCCTTTTTCGTTCCTGCTTTCCTTCCATCCGTGTTCATTCCCTCTTTACTTGTTTCCGTTCATCCTTGCTTCTTCCTTCCTTGCTCATTCCTTCTTTCTTTTCTTACATCCTTACTCTCCCCGTCTTTCCTTTCATCCTTGCTCTTTAATTCCGTCCTGATTTCCTTCCATCTTTTCTAATTCCGATTTTCCTTCAATTTTTTCTCATTCTTTCCTTCCTTACATCCTTTTTTACTTCCATCCTCACCTACCCTTTCCTTCCATCGTTTCCTTCCATCCTGTCCCCTTCTTTCTTCCTTTCCGTCCTTGCTTTTTTCTGTTTTTCCTTCTATCCTTTCTCATTCCAGCTTCCTTCTTTCCTTCCATCCTCGCTCTTTCCATCCTTGCTTCTTCCCGTATTCCTTCATTCCGTCCATCTTCGCTCATTCCATCTTTGCTCATTCCTTCATTCTTTCCTTCCTTCCTTCCACATTCCTTCTTTTATTCTGTCTTTCCTCCTTCCTGCTTTTCTGCCATCCTTACTCATTCCCTCCTTCCTGCTCACCTTCCATAATTACTCCTATCTTTGCTCATTCATTCCTTTCTTCTTTCCTTCCATCCTCGCTCCTTCCATCCTCGCTCCTTCCATCCATGATCATTACTTCTTTCTGTCCTTAGTTTTCATCACTTTCGGTACATCCTTTGGAGACACGGCATCCTCTGCACTGTCCTCAGATTGACACCCAAACACTGTGAAATGTTCGTATCGAAGCTTCCGGCGCGATTGCCAAGCAGTACAGCATACCGTTTTCAACTTTTTGGATGAGTGAATTGCGTCATGGAGCTCTTTTACTCACAGATGGTGCTCAAATAACCTTACTATACTGTGCAGTCCACAAAATCAGAAACAGAAAATGCGCATGCGCAAAATTAAAAATAAAATACATTATAAAATGGCGACAATTTACTCATCGCACCCTGTGAATATGTGTTGTTTGTAATGTTGATTTTTTTTTTAAATATTTTTACTGGTATTTTTACTATAAAATTGTATTTTTATACTTTCATAGTGTTTTGTTTTCGTTTAGTGGGTCACTATTTGCCCATAGCTGGGATCCTAACAGGTGCTACCACCCCGGGCAGGGGTGGACCTGGGGACAACAGCGATTATGAGGTGATTTCACGCTCCTGAAAACTTGCAATCTCCCGACTAAAGGCCTTGCTGCCGGATGTAGTTTATCATCATACCGAGGAATATAATGAAAACGTAACGAACATTGTGGGACAATACGAAATAGGGAAAAAATAGTTTAATATAATTTAAATATAAAATAATAATTGGAATATTTTAGTATATTGTCTACCATACAGAAAACAGAAAGAAAACAAAAGGCTTTTATGATTTATAAGCATTTAATAACAAAAGGAAAGAAGAAGAAATAAAAAAACGTTTTGCAGACTTTGGTGCTCTGAGGACTTATGAGTTCATTTAAATGTCCGCAGGTGTAACTTTGATTCTAGCAATGTTCTCAGGTACCAATTTAAAATTATTTCTGTGTGTCTTCCTGTCCATACCGCGGTGGGTGCTAAACAAAAAAATGAACTTTTCGTTCGTATATATTCCAAAATAACATCGGGATCGATGCTTATTTTTGGCCAATGGGAAGGTTTATTATATTTATTGCGTACTACGCCATCAAATTAAGAGACATAAAAAAACTGTTCCTTGTTGTGTTGCTTTCTTTTTAATTGGAAGGAATTTTAATTTCAATACCAAATATATGATAAACCCGATATTTTTGACGGGTAATATGCTATTATTTAATACTTAAGAAAAAAAAAGCGAAAACGATTTAAAAGCTTGATGTGCCTTGTAAAAATAATGAAGTAAATAATGATGTTAAAATTCTAATCAAATTAAACACATTCAATGACACAGCAATGTCGTCCAAAAAAGACGAAACCTCAGTAAGAGCCACTATAAATATTTTTTTGTTTAATATTACAAGTCAAAGAAGATTTGATGTGCACATTTTGTGGCTGGCTTACCATCCTAAAGATAAAATTTAAGAATCTTTTTCAACTGCGTTTTTCGTGAGTTAAAAGAAAGAATAAAAGAAAAAAAATGGAATCAAGCAATGACCGAAATCAAAGAAATTCAGCGATAAAGACTGGATGGTTAATTTCTTTGTAAAGAGAATGATTTTTTAAAAAAAAGAAGAAAGATTCAAAGAAGTCGGTCATTGTTTGATGCTTTGTAGGAAATTCGATTCAATATTG